AAGCAGCCGCATGGCCTCTGGGTGTAACGAAGCGGCGGTGCTGGACAGCCAGCCTCATGGAATCGGCGTTCGTGCCGCCTCCTCCCTGGAAAGGAGGCTGAGCGGCGACCGCTGTCAGTGTCAGCATTGATCCGAGGGTCTGAGGCGGGGGCAGAGGAGTGTGGGTGACCACGGGGCAGCACTGGGGTGTGGAATGAAGCCATTAGTTGCGCATATACACTGATGTTTTTAGAAGGTACCATAAACCGCCTTTGTTTGCCTCCATTCAAGTTCTCTGCGGAGAGACATGCACAGTCCCAGGCCCAGCTCTGCCTTCTGATGCCGCGTGACCTTGGGAAAGTCACTCAGTCTTTCTGGGTTTCGGCTTCCCACTCCACCTCCATGTTGAAAATGAATACATTTTTGGTGGTGTTAAAGGAAAACTTACAAGTGACAATGTCCATAGCAGCAATTTTTCGGTTTAAAAATTTTTTTTTTCCTTTATTGATTTTAGAGAGAGAAGAAGGGAGAGGGAGAGAGAGATGGAAACATCGATGAGAGAGAACATCGACTGGCCGCCTCCTGCACGCCCCCCACTGGGGATGGGCCCACAACCTGGGCATGTGCCCTGACCGGGAATGGAACCAGCGACCTCTTGGTGCAGGGTCAGTGCTCAACCACTGAGCCACACCGGCTGGATGCGATTTTTCTTTCTCTCTATTTATTTCAGCATACATAAAATTTCCAAGAGATTACAATTTTAGCCGAGATGGAAAAATGTAGCATGTTTTCTCAATTCATTGATCACCGTCAAGGTGTGAACGTCTTCTGAGGAAGCTGGAGAAAGTTCCAGGTGGCACCTTTGTTGCCTTAAAGAAGTTCCGTCAGCTTCCAGCGTGGCCTTCATGTCCCCAGAGTAGCTTAGCAGATGGGTGTGTGTCACTGAGAAATGAGAGTGACACAGAAAAGGAGCCGTACATGAATGAGATGCATCACAGGAACACGCGCACAAACACCCCCTGCAAGTTAGGAGAGGGTGCGGCTGGAGGAATTGGATTGGGGTCAGGCCTGGACTGGAGTATCCGTTCTGCCACCGAACTAGCTGTGTGGCACTGGGCAAGTCTTAGCTTTTTGACGTCTTGGCTTTCTCATCTGGAAAGGGTTCTTGAGAAGGTGGCGAAGTAACCCAGGCCAGGCTCACAGCGCCTGCCGCCCAGTTGGTGTTCAGCAAACAGAACTGTGAGGGTCATCTTTGTTTTTATCATCATCCCAAGAAAAGGGCAGTGCAGCTAGAAACAGCGTGATAAGTGCGCCAGGCCCCTTTGTTGGCATCACTCCTCACACACCCCTTGTGCCCCCCCCCCCCCATTTTCTCAGTCTGTCTCCTACCGAAGGCTAGGATCCCTTGACTCTCTGCCTTTATATGCCCCCAGGCTGGCTCAGTGCACAGCAGGTGAATGTGTTGAATAAATCAATTAATGAATAAGAGAAGCGCTCTGTTAAGAAGTAAAACATTTTTGCCCAGCTTGTGTGGCTCAGTGGTTGAGTGTCGACCCTGCACCAAGAGGTCTCCAGTTTGATTCCCAGTCAGGGCACATGCCCAGGTTGTGGGCCTGATCCCCAGTGGGGGGCGTGCAGGAGGTGGCCCATCGATGTTCTCTCTCATTGATGTTTCTCTCTCTCTCTCTCCTACCTTTCTCAAATCAATAAAGAAAAAAAAAAGTTAAACATTTTTTTTTTTTTTTAGAATTTACAAAATAATATTAAAAAGAAAGTATCAGTCTGGCCAGTGTGGCTCTGTAGTTGAGTGCCGACCCTGCACCAAGACGTCGCCAGTTCAATTCCCAGTCAGGGCACATGGCCAAGTTGTGGGCCAAATCCAGGTGGGGGGCGTACAGGAGGCAGGTAATTGATGTTCTCTCTCCTACCTCTCCCTTCCTCTCTCTCTAAAATAAAATTTTTAAAAAAAGTATTAAAAAAGTTCTTTGGTTACAAAACTCTCTTGAATAAAGCATGTGAGTGACTGTCAATCAAATGTTGCGCAGCTAATATGTTGTTTGTTGCTAGCATACAAATATATGAATGGGCCCTTGACCTACAGCAGGTCCTCCAGTGACATTTCATTTCACGTCATTGTGTTCTAACATTGATGAATGCCATAGATGCTCAGCTCTTGTTTGCATCGGGAGCCTGTGGTAGGACGGGCTTCGCTGTCTGTTACTTTGCGTGAAGGTACAGAACCCGTCAAGGACAGTAATGAGGACTTGCTGGTGCGCACACGGAGCAGCCGTGCAGGAAGCTACATTGCGCAGAGCGAGCAGCGCCGCGCAGCTCTCGCACTGCCGGGAGCTTGTCCACACTGCAGGGCCCTTTGACACACACAGTTACAGGAAATACCCTAAGACAGTGGGGGTGACTTGCCAGGGGAGTCACAGAGGCAGTTACTTCATGCAGATGAGGGAAGATTCCCGGGTTCTGGTCCATATAGTAAAATGAAAATAGGAGGAGGATTAACTAAAAAAAAAAGTGAGGTTTTCTGCAGGTCTGAATGTACCCAAGAGTTGTGGAGATGGTAAAGTGAACCTACAGTACTTAGACACTTGGAAGAAAGGAGTTAACGGATTCTGAGACAAGTGGAATATTTTTGGTACAAGGAAGGAGGGAGGTTGTTTTCTCTCAGCCATTTATCTTCAGACAGAGTGGGAGGGAGGGAGAGAGAAACATCGATGTGAAAGAGACACGTTGATTGGTTGCTTCCCGCACAATCCCAGCCAGGGCCAAGACGAACCGCAACTGAGGTATGTGCCCTTGGTCAGAATCGAACCCAGGACTGTGGTCTGTGGGCTGACGCTCTAACCACTGAGCAAAACTGGCCAGGGCATTAACTGAATTAGGGAATATAGATCCTTAACAAGTGGAAAGAAACTAGTTCATGTAGAGGAAAACTGAATTTTTGTGTTAGAATTCAAAACCTAAGAGGAAATACAGGAAGTAGTGCCGTTTCACTAAAGTAACTAGAAAGAGTCCCTCGCTGGGCATCACTGCTGCCGTGGCCGGCTCCTTGCTGCATCTGCTGTTGAAGTGGGATTATCAGAAACTTGGTGTTAACTCCAAATCTTGCTACATCGCAACTCACTGTTTTTGTGTTGGCTGAATTTGATAGATAAAAATGTGGCATTAAACCTTATTCTTTATGACCCTGACATTATTACGTCATTCCTTCTGTTACTTCTGGAAAAGACACAAGAAGGTGGCAGGCTTTTCCAGCTGATAAAATTAAACGTCATTTCACTAGTTGTCATAAAATTACGCACCAGAGCAGGGTGGCATTAAGCAAAACCGTGGCTGCTTTTCAGTGTGGCCGGGGAGACAGGCAAGTGCAGGTCGTGCTGCGCCTTATGAAAGTGTCACCTTCCAGAAAAGTAGGTGGAGAAGCCCTGTCTGCAAACACAGATCCAAAACCACCACAAGAAGATTGTCATTGCAGCCAGATACGGCTTTATCATCTCGTGGCAAGTTAAATTCAGGTTGTAGATCTTCCTCAGTGGGAGGGCGACGCTGTTTCTGAGTTCTCACGTTTGTTGAAACTAATTAGTGGAGTGGAAAGGGATTCTTTTCATCATTACGTTCTCTGTTTAAAATAATTTATTTTTATTGATTTTAGAGAGAAGAGAAGAGGAGGGAGGGAGAAAAAGAGAGAGAAACATCGATTTGTTTCCCACTTATTTATGCAGTCATTGGTTGATTCTTGTATGTGCCCTGACCGGGGATCAAACCCAAAACTTTGGCGTATGGGGATGATGCTCTAACAACAGAGCTACCCAGCCAAGGCCTAAAATAATTCTAAATTTCAAGAATCTTACCATACTTAAAAGAAAGAAAAAACCCCACCTCTGAATAATCACTATTTATTTTAGTCCAAAGCTACTATGTAAATGAAATCTATTTCCACGGGATTTTCATGACTAAAAAAGGCACTATGGATGCTTCACTCTTAAGTGGATGTTGGATAAATCAATTTGAAGGAAGCAGAGGAGAGAACATTTCTGATCTCACGGCACAGAGTCGGCAGAGAGGTCGCTTCATTGAAGAATGCCTTTAGGTTCGGGTGTGCTGAGCACCTGGCGGAAGGAGCTGGCTGTAAGCCCGCCAGGCAGTCAGGGGTGGGCTCAAAAGAGTCAGCTGGAAACCACTCCAACTCTGTTGTCTGTGTGATTTTTGTTTTAGTTTTGGAGGAAATAAAAATGTAGTTCCACTGTATTTTATTCCATATAATCATAGTATTTGTTTACTGAGAGTAAAGAAGTTTACTTGGAAACGTTCCTCTTAAAAGGTTAGCTTGTTTGCGTCTCTGTGATATACATGTTATCTCGCATTTTTTAGAAGTGTCACCATGTGCAAGGACTAGTTAAAAATGGACCAATCAGAGGCGGTCTGTCATTTCCTTCCTGGGGTGAGGTGCCATCCCCACACGCCCGTCACACTCCACCTGTCCTTCTGAAACAGGCTTCCTCTTTTTTTTTTTTTAATTTTTATTTTCTTTATTGATTTTAGAGAGAGACAAAGGGAGAGGGAGAGAGAGATAGAAACATCAATGAGAGAGAACATCAATTGGCCGCCTCCTGCACGCCCCCAACTGGGGATCAGGCCCACAACCTGGGCATGTGCCCTGACTGGGAATCGAACCGGCGACCTCTTGGTGCAAGGTTGACGCTCAACCCCTGAGCCACTCCAGCTGGGCCAGCCTCCCTCTATTTCTCCCCAGTGGGGTGCTGGTTTTTCTCTCGCTTGCCTGGACCACTACTCACTGATTATTCTGCTCCTAGGTCCCCCTGGGGATTGGCCCTTTCCAGCTTCACAGTCTAGCTATTTGGGCACTTACTGACTTTTCAAGATCACAGACGCTTTGAAGGAAAACTGTCTTGTTCAGACCTGCATACCCTAGACACTTAGCCTGGTTCCTATGCATAATCGGTCATAGATGTTTAGAAACAGATAACCGTTTCTTTTCTGTGTCGCAGGTTACCTAGAAGAGCCCAGCTGCGCTCGGGAGGAGGACGTGGAGGGACGGACCTGGGACAGGAGCACCTGGAGGAAGAATACCGATGGATGTTCCCCGCCCTTTGTAGAGCGCTCGAGAATCCTGGGCAAGTGACGTGTCCTCCTGACCGTGAGGCCGAGCTGTTTCAGATGCAGCTGAGGGCAATGCAGGCCATCAAGAAGGAGCAGGCCCCCCTGGATCCCGGGAGCGGGGTGGACAAGGTGGGGGCGCTTCATCCGGCCTTGGCCGAGGTCTCCGAAGACTTGACGGCGGGAGAGGACCTGCTCCTGAGCGAAGGCAGCGTGGGGAAGAACAAGTCCTCGGCCTGCCGTCGCAAGCGGGAGTTCATTCCCGACGAGAAGAAGGATGCCATGTACTGGGAAAAGCGGCGGAAAAACAACGAGGCTGCCAAGAGGTCGCGGGAGAAGCGTCGACTCAACGACCTGGTTTTGGAGAACAAACTCATCGCCCTGGGGGAAGAGAACGCCACTTTGAAAGCCGAACTGCTTTCCCTGAAATTAAAGTTTGGTTTAATTAGCTCCACGGCGTACGCCCAAGAGATCCAGAAACTCAGCAATTCGACGGCCGTGTACTTTCAGGACTACCCGGCGCCCACACCCAGCGCCAGCGCCTTCGTGGACGAGCGGGAGCCCGCGGCCGTGGCCAGCAGCTGCATCTCGGTCATCAAGCACTCTCCGCAGAGCTGCCTGTCCGACGGCTCCGAGGGCTCTTCGCTGGAGCCTGCGCAGGAGGGCCCTGTGCAGAGTGGCTGCAGGAGCCCCGAGGGCAAGTTCCAGGTCATCAAGCAGGAGCCGGTGGAACTAGAGGGCTATGCCAGGGAGCCGAGGGATGACCGAGGCGCCTACCGGGCCTCCGTGTACCAGAACTACGTGGGCGGTTCTTTCCCTGGCTACTCGCACTCCCCGCCTCTGCTGCAGGTCAGCCGGTCCTCCAGTAACTCCCCACGAACGTCGGAAGCTGACGACAGCGCAGTAGGAAAGTCATCGGATGGAGAAGATGAGCAGCAGGTCCCCAAGGGCCCAATCCACTCTCCCGTCGAACTCCAGCACGGACTTGCCACCGTGGTTAAAGTCCCAGAAGTGAATTCCTCTGCTCTGCCGCACAAGCTGCGGATTAAAGCTAAAGCCATGCAGATCAAAGTCGAGGCGTTCGATAATGAATTTGACGCCACGCAAAAACTCCCCTCGCCCGTGGACATGACGTCCAAGAGACATTTGGAACTGGAGAAGCACAGTGCCCCGAGTGTGGTTCATTCTGCCCTCACTCCCTTCTCAGTGCAGGTGACCAACATCCAAGACTGGTCCCTCAGACCGGAACACTGGCACCAGAAAGAACTGAACGGCAACACTCAGCATAGTTTCAAAGCTGGAGTGGTTGACGTGAAAGACAATGGGTACAAAGTGTCCGACCCAGAGAATTTGTTTTTGAAGCAAGGGATAGCAAACTTATCCACAGAGGTGGTCTCGCTGAAGAGACTTATAGCCACACACCAAATCTCCGCTTCCGACTCGGGGTGAATTACTACTGAACGGCTCTGGGCTTTCAGAGGCGTCGCCGGCAATAGACGTGTACATTTTGGATGAGGCTGAGTTCTTACTGGACCTGTGATGTCATTCCACTGTAATGTTCTCACGTTGTCTGTCGGGTGTCTTTCTGTGCACAGATTATTACGAAGATTAGATTGTGCTATCACTCTGCCTTGTGTATAGTCAGATAGTCCACGCAAAGACTGTATATACCGAACCTTATTTTTGTTGTTCTATTATAAAGTGTGTAAGTTGCCAGTTTCAATAAAGGGTTGGTGACAAACACGGAATTCCTGCTCCAATGCACTTGATTTTAGGGTGGAGAAACGGCAATTTAGAGATTCAGGTATTGTGCGTTATTTTTGTTTGTCTTTTATTCCTCACCCAAGGATATTTTTCTATTTATCATTACGTAGAGTGGGAGGGAGGGAGAGAGACAGAGAGAAACGTCGATGTGGTAGAGCCACATTGACTGGTTTCCTCCTGCACAACCTCACCAGGGCCTGGACGAACCACTACCGAGGTCCGTGCCCTTGACCTAATCGAACCTGTGACTCGTTGGTCCATGGGCCAATACCCTGACCATGAGCAACACCAGCCAGGGCAGTGTTATGCGTTTTACTTCTTAAGGGGGGTTTTCTCCCCTGAGTTAGGAGAAAACAAGGGTAAGTTCAGCAAATAATTTGTTTTTCTTCTCATCTGGCTCAGGCTGTACGTTTGAAAACCTTCAAAAAGGAGGGAAAACATAACATTTTCTCACATTTGAGACGACTTCGCTAATTCACTCTGCGCTAATCTGTTTTTCTTTAAAGTTAAGTTTCTCCATCTTTTTCAACTAGAAAAATCCAGTATTTTTGGCATCCACTTGTCTGTCTTTAGTCATCTCTCTTTAAGTATGACACATGGATGCGAATAGTTGAGTCACTGACCTGTTTTATTAGAGGTTTTTTTTTAAGAGTGAATCAAGACTAAGGATGAAGTAATTTTAACAATGTTATTGTGGAGCTTAACAGTTCTGGAGTGTCACCATGTAGGGAGGTAACTGGATGAAATTGTTTTTATTTAGTTACCCAGATTTCAGAGAACACATCAGCATGCCCTGGCTGGTGGGCTCAGTGGTTAGAGTGTTGACCCTTGCTCCCCAGGGTCATGTGTTCGATCCATGGTCAAGGGCATGTGCCTGGATTGCGGGCTCAATCCCCGGCCCTGGTTGCGGTTGTGCGGGAGGCAACTAGTCGATGTGTGTCTTTCACATTGATGTTTCCCTCCCTCCCTCCCTCCCTCCCTTTTTGTCTCTCTAAAAACCAGTGGAATAAACAACAACAAAAAACACATCATTTACCACATCCTAACACACATGGTCTAGGGATGTATAATGACTTGTTTTCTTTTTATGGTTTGTTAGTGATGAACATAAACAACAGCTCTAATTTAGGACTCTGTGGTACACACGCATGTCCAGAAGAAAGCCTCCTTCTGAGTAAACTGATGCTAAGACCATTGTGGTGGTTTGTTGGGGGTTTTCCGCTGACCCCTCAGGTCCTGTTGGCACAGACCGTTCTGTCCAGAAGCTGTTGGCATCGGGGGGTGAGGGGTGGGTGCTGTGGGTGGGGACAGTGTCATCCATGGCTCCTGCCCTCAGAACTGCCTGCACACTGAGCTCTTTCCTATTGTAGAAATGGGTGGGGGGCTTGGGCGCCACAGGACACCTGCAGGGCGAGGAACCCTCACTGCCCCGCGTCTCCTGGCGGCCCTTCAGAAGAGCCCAGTTGTAACATTTTATTTGAGGGTCTGTAGTCTTTGGACTGCTCCATTTGAGTAAAAGCATGATTTTTGGTATGTTAAACTTCCTGCACTTTTATATTTTTAAAAAGTTGTCCTTTGAATGAAAGGCGGTGCCAGTTACACACACTCCATCCACTTTGTCCCTTTGGCGCGGGGACCCGTTTTCTCCGAGATCTCCTGGGCCTAGAGGGATGTGTGCTGGTTGGCCCCGGCGCCTCCTCAGCATTTCATTAGTGACTGGGTGCGGCCCAGAGGCAAACCCGTTTTCCTCGCCCACATTGCCAGGCACAGAAGGGCTACAGCCTTGGTGGGGATCAGGCAGGATCCAAAAGCATTTCCCGGCCTAGAGTGAACGGAATGACTGCAACAACATGAATCATAATGGGGACGCAAAGTAAAGTTAGGTTCCTGCGTGTGACAAAGAACATTTTAATTTTTTTTCTTTTTTTCCCAGTGGGATGATACTCAAAATGTTACAGCTTAAAAATAAAAAAATGGCCTGAAAAAGCAGTGCCCCCATTAGGAACCAGAGAAATGCAGAGTAGAATCACACGGCAACACTTCTGTTCGAGACGCAAACCAAGGGCAGCGGTCCCTCCCTCCCGCGTGCAAAGTTCTGAAACCGTCTAAAATGTGGTCAGAGCTGAATAAACCTGTGACTGTGCTCAGACGCCAGAAGCAGAAGCCCCAGAGTACCAGAAAGAAGCCCCAGAGAGGCCCGGCCAGGCGGCTCAGTGGTCGAGCATCGACCCTGCACCAAGAGGTCGCTGGTTCGATTCCCGGTCAGGACACATGCCCAGGTTTTGGGCACGATCCCCAGTGGGGGGCGTGCAGGAGGCGGCCAGTGTTCTCTCTCATCAATGTTTCTCTCTCCCTCTCCCTTCCTCTCTCTCTAATATCAATAAAAGAAAAAAAAAAAAAAATTCCCAGAAAGGTGGCTGGCAGGTGGGAAGAAGCTGCTGCCAGCAAAACAGATGCCTCCCAGAGCCGACCCCGCCAGACACGAGAGGGCGGAAGCCACGCAGCGAGGCCACTGGGATGCCGCAGCCGAGATGGTGCGCTTCCCTCCACCCGCCCAGGACAGGAGTGGGAGCGGGGAGCGTGGCCTGGGCCTTGCCCTCTGCCCCCAGTCCCCTGTAGAACGCAGGCAGGGCGTCCCCATGCAGCCCACCCAGCGGCACATCCCTCCTGTGTCCACCAGTATCTCATCATCGTCGTTTTATTACTGGGCCGGTTCTGTAAAGTAGAACATTGAGACCGAGAGGGTAACGCACCGAGGCTCGCATGGCAGCCAGACCCAGGCCCCAAGGAGCAGGCAAAGGCCGGCCAGCAAGCAGCCCCGAGGCCGTGAGCCCGCCTAACCGAGGGCAGTGAGCCTGGAGAACCGTCCTGGGAGAAAAGGCGGAATCCAAGGCAGTGTCTTTTCTCCGTGAGCTGGTAAAACGGCTCTCTGAACATCCACTTTCTGATAGTTGCATAATAGCTGTATTTGTCAGGGAACAAATACCCCAAGTGAACACAGCCGCAGATGTACCCGTCCGCTTGGGCGTTCACACGTGTTCCCTCTTCTGGAGGCCAGTCCCTGTACGCGGCTCACTGAACCGGGAGCTCTCCGACTCAACCGGACATCATCCCTCAAAAATCGAATCACTTGGTTTTCAGGGTTCTTTGTGTGTTCGAGGGACGGGATTGGGGCTGTTGAGAGAGTAAAACCATTGGAGTCCGGCGTCCACGGGTGGCAAGCACTGGAGAAATTTAAATGAGAAAAACTGGCTGAGCATGTGAGATTGTGGGTCAGACATTCAGGAGACCAGTGAGGATAAAGAAATGAAAGGGAATTCAGAATGATGAGCTGAGGTCTGAAAGGTGAACTGGGATGTTCCCACGAAGGTCACGTCACCCGCAGTGAAAGACTGGCCACTTTTCCACGGGGCCAGCTGGGGCTGACCCCCATGGACAGAAGATGGGAGTGAAGAGCTAACGGAGATGAGAGGGGCAGTCCTGGGGAAGGACAGGTGACAGGAGGAGGTGACCAAGAGCCCTCCTGAAAAGTGAGAAGGGCGTCCTGCCATTGCTGCATCCTGTGTGGGGCGGCCCCCAAGTGACGCCGTCTGAGTGTGGAAATGCCTTTCAGACGCCCGGAGGGCTGCGCAGTGACCGCTGAGCTGGGGACCCAGACGGGGTGACTGTCACGCCTGATGTCTTCATTCTATCAGTGTTACCCGCTTGAGAAGGTTCTTTGGGGAAAGACCTGGAATCGAGCCCAAGGCCCTGGAGGCCCAGAAGGGCCCCTGGAAGTGTGAGTGCGTGAACCCGAGGCCGGGTCGGGAACAGGAACCCCTCCGGCGCGTGTGCAGTGGATGGAAGGGGGTGAGGAGGACAGGAGAAACCTCGGAAGGAACCGCCCTTGCAGGAAGCAGATATTTTGGTGTAACAAGGTTTAAAAAGTGGTTCAAACAGCTGTGCCAGATTTCCCAGGAGAGAAGGAACTTCCTTTTTGAAAAAATAACTTTGATGTGCTACTGAGCTCACAGGAAAACCCGAAAAGCAATGATGTCAGCAGGTCCCGGGCCCCAAGAGGAGAAGGGAGGTTGCTTTGCTGAGAAAGCGCCAGGCAGTGGAGGGGTGTCTGTGCTGCCCAGGATGGGAGCTGGGGCTCCTTTTGGCGGGAAGAGGGGAGGGAGTAAAGAGAAGGGACCGAGGGGATCCTGCTGAACATGAGGAAAATGTTCTTCCATTTCCTCCTGCAATTGTCTGCTATGCCTGCTCGACTCGCAGACGCTTTGTGTGAGTGGGTTGTTGAGTGTGTGGTACTTTATATCTGGGTCGTCATTCTGCAGAGCAAGGCAGCCCTGCGGGGGGCCAGCGCCAAGGGGGGTGGGGCAGGCTGAGGCCGGGGGACCTGCGGAGCCCAGAGCGGCCTCCATCTGGATCTGGGTTCCGGGCCTGCTGGGCCCGAGGTGGGCATTGCCTGTGGGCGCCCAGTTCTGTGCTGCCTGCCCTGGAGGGAACAGCAGGAAGACAGCATCTCCTTGTGAAGAATTTTGAATTTGCTTGTGAAAGAGCAGACCACAGACAGCACGGCCCGCAGACGTGACCGAGAGGCAGAGCGTGGGGAGCGATGCCTGTGGAAGGAGCTCGGAGGACAGACTGCAGTCCCCCGGCAGTGGGGGGACGGCTGTGAGACTGGCCCTGGGCAGGAGAGCTGAAGTCGAGGGCTCATGCCATCGGGGAGGCGGGGGAGGTGCTCCGCACCCCCAGAGAAGCGGATTTATGTAGAGCGTGGGTCAGGAAAGAAATTCGCAAGGAAATGTAGAACTACTTGCAAAGGACCTCGAATCCCAGCCTTAGAAAGTGGCCGAGTTGCAGGAGTGGCTATAGGAAGTGCAAACTATAAACACAGCTGAGAGCAGCAGAGGGCCCGAGCTGACCTCATGTGGAGGTCGGGGAAGTGAGAGATTTGGGAGGCCAGGTAGACCTGGAGAAGGGCCTGGCCAGTCGGGAAGAACGATGTGGAAGGACACACAGCAGAAGTAGCAGCAGCTCCCGTGGGAGCTGGGCTCAGCCATGCGGTGCATAGGGTGGGCCCATCGCAGCAGCTCCCTGCCAGGCCACTGGGCAGCTGTGGTGGGCATTGTGAGCTCTCCATCCCCTGAGGAAGGGCAGGGGTAGCTGCGCTCCCTGCTGCTCTGAGCCTCCCTGTGGCTGAGCAGGGCTGTGATTGAAAGTGACAGACCTTGTGACAAGGTTGGAAAGGTCCCCAAGTGCACAGTGGAGCCCCCACCATCACTGGCCCTTGAGGCCTGACTCACAGCTCCTCCACTCTGCTCACTAGTCCTGTGCCTTGCGCACTGACGTCCCTGGGGGAGAGGG